TTTAGAAGGGAAAAGGTAAAAGGGACAAGAATTTTCCGACCAATAGAGGAACAGGAGAGAAAAGAAGATGAAGAGAGAAGAAGAACGGGGGACGGGGGGGGGGGGGGGGGGGAAGAGAGAGAGAGAGAGAGGATGAAGGGGGATGAACGACGGGCGAGGGAATAAAAAGCGAGTGAGGTTTGAAAGAAGTTGGAGGGAAAAAAGGCTTTGAGGCTGCGAACGAAAAAGGAGGAGGAAAACAGAAAACGGTCAAAGGACCGTTGTTTGGTGGTTTGGTGTGTAATTCGTGCGTATTAGTATTTGCCAGTTACACTAGTAACATTACCAGGAACAACTCCCCCTCCGCCCTCTGGTTTGGCTGGTGTGGGGTAGTTTGGGGCCAATAATCTTACCCTTGGATCTTGGGAGCAATTTACCCAGATTTACTTCTTGCTGGTATTTTTGGTATTTGGAGCATTCTGAAAGTGTTGCTTGGACGGAGGGACCCAAGGTACACAATGTATAAGTGGTAACTTAAACCTTACATTAATTATTACAAGATCTAATTCAGGAACGGTACGGTACGGTACGGTACGGTACTATATTGCTGCAAGCTCAAGCAGCTCATCAAAACGCATGGGCCAAATGGGCCAACTACGCGACAGATAAGTTCACGTCAATTCCTTATGTTGACATGCTGAGATTCTGCATGGAAGAAGCGGTTGAGAAAAGGTCTATATTATGTATCGTATTTATACTCTCACATGCTGAATCGACCCCCATAGCTTGCACACGCTTCAAATAACACTGGCAGAGGATCCAGAGGGGCACTGAGTCACCCCCCGATATTTTCTCTCCGTTTTTCTCTGTTGCAATTCACTTCTCACAGTGGTTCGTTCCTCTGTCAGTGAGTGGTTCACCCAACTAGGGGCATTTCCCCCCCCCTTCTCCTGGAATGTTAAGCCCTAGAATGTGCCTGAACCATCCCTCGCCTAGCCTAGCCCTGTTCTTTTACCAACAACTTTACTACCCGTACTGTACCTTCCTGTATTGACTGTAAAGGGCAGTTTTCCCCTGTTCTCCCCACTGATGAACATCTCTTTTGGGGGAGTCGGGTGGGGGGGAGGGGTTGGAAGTTTCATTTTACTATCAAGAACAGCTTCTGCTTGCAACCTAGGTAATCAAAAAAGAAAGAAAAGAAAAGAAAAGAAAAGAAAAGAAAAGAAAGAAAAAGAAAAAGAAAAAGAGAAAGAGAAAATATATCAAAACGTTTAATTATTCAAAGGGAAAAAAAGGCAACCCTCCCCTTTTTCATGCAACTCCGATATCGAACCACACAAACAGCCAGGTTTCATCAACCCGGAAATATATAATATAATACGCATCCCGACACCCTAATTCGTGGTCATGACACGCCAAGTGGATCCCGCCCAGGAATCACCCTCAACTTTCGTCGGACGAGTTGATTACTGTTTTAGATTCTCAGATGGTCCAGGCTGGAATATGATGACAGATTTGGTTTCTGCGGAGAGGGAGAACTCTTGCTTTCAACCATCAAATCGTACCTTGGAATACCGTATCTGAATTGCCGGAACAGAAGAGAAGCTTCCAAACTCTTCGTTGACCCACCTAAAAGTCTATCCCTGGTGACAGCTCTAAGAGGCAACGAAAGGGGACCGCAGTTAGCAGTCGAATGTCGAACGGGAATAGGGAGAGACGGAAGGTTTCTTTTCTTTGCCTCCTCCCTTTCAACAACCTTCATAACCTCCCTTCGAAACGATGATTCAAAATATGCAAAAACTGACACTTCACAACAACCTCCAATATTTAACTACATGCATGCGCATAGAGAGTAGTATGCTTCCGAACTTGAACCTCGAGGTTCCACTCAAAAGGAAGAACCATCTAGGTCCCCAATAATCTGTCCATCCATCCACATGCAGGTTCTGTGACCGGTGTGGTCATACAAAAACCCTGAACTGGCGCCTGCCTCCCCCTGTTCTGGCCAGGTCGTTGTCCCCGTTTTACCGTCGTTTGGTAGTATAGAAATGGTCGATAGGGCTTTAAGCACCACATGGCATGGGAGGAAGATTGCACAGCATAAGGCATTTTCCGGTAGTTTATATTATTATTATTCCAATGTTACCACCTCAATCGGCGTTTTGAATGGGCAGTAGTGGTGGGGGGGGCAGTAACAGATGATATGTGTGGCTCCCGTCCAAAATTTAAATACTGTCCAATGGATAACCCCTGTTGAGACGTTTCTTCATCCGTCAAACTTGAAGCAAAACGGAAGACGGAAGCAGCAGATGAAAGGAAAAAGGAGTGCAGGTGTGGAATTGCTCTTGCTCAAGCCGCGACGATTAAAGATAGTATAACTCCATACTCCGTGGTGCAGATGACAACATCTCGATGAGCTCCAACCCAAGCGTTAATCGATTCCAAGTAACTATATAAACAAGACAGCTGGGGTTGCGTGACTGAAGGGAATTAATTATATTGGCTCCTATTAGTTGATATTTTGTGAAGGAAGCTGTTACACATCATGATATAAGAGATGCCTTGACGGGCCATCCATGATTCATCCGATGAACCTTTTTTTTTTCCCTTCTCTTCTCACGTCTTCCAATCTTCCCAACCCCATCAATAATAGCCAGACGAGTTTCCCGTATATACTAACCCAGGGGGTCAATGTTCACGTGAATAGGCGGACCCGCTGTTTACGATGGTCATCATCCCCAGATTGTGTGTGGAAGCATTCTCGAGATGAAAGTAAAGGAGCTCGTATATGGCCAGCGGGGCGCAAGATATCTAGCAGAAGGGCTTCACGACGCTCTTGTGGGGTAACAAGGTCTATGAGTTCAATCTTTCTTTTCGGCACTCTTCGTTCTTCCACGCTGGCCCACGTCCACTCGAGCTGGGTGTTTGGGTGTATTCCAATCCTGGCTCTGACTTTTGGCGTAGGAGGAGCGGATTACAGCGATAAAAACTGCTCTGTTCACTCTGATATCCACATCTTTCGAATCAATCGTGGGACTTCGACCAACCTGGGGCCTGTCAAGGCACCTATCGCAGCTACATATCTCCCTTCCGAATTATTAGAGCGTCAGGCCTTGATCGTGCACATTGCAGGAGCTCGAATGAATTGCAGGCGCCTTGTCGCTTTTTATAGGTGAGGAGCCTCACGTTCCTGATTTTCCATTTCGAGCGAGCTGAAGGGATGGACCCCCCCCCCCCCCCCCCTAACTCGGACCCAAACAACCCATATTTTAAAACGAGACGGGGACCGTGTGAACTCTTAACGATTGAAATTTCGCTGAGCCCACCCCCTCAAAGAAGACAAATGGGAATCTTTGGAACGAATTTTCACCCCCCTATATTCCGATTCAGAGTAAAATATGACCCGAAGCTCGAAACATGGGAGAAAAGGCCTGAAGTGCTCTCTCAAGGACACCGTTTCTTCCTCTCCCATTTTTTCTTCTTTTTCTTCTTTCTTTCTTTTTCTTTCTTTCTTTTCTTTTTCTTTTATATATATTGTTAAGGCTGCAGTTAGATGACGAAAGCCGACTGCATGGATCTTTTGTGGACTTTGAATTTTTTTAATATAAGGTTTTAAAAAAGTCTTCTTATCGTCCAATAATGCATTGAGATGTCCAGAACAGCCCCAAGATATAGTTATGCCATTCATTTGTTTGTGAAAAGGTATCACCTACAGATTGATCCATGCCAGTTATTGGGAAGTTGCTAACAAACACTTCCCAACGCAACATAGCTAAACGAAATCATTAAAAGATTCCCACCCGGATGTCGAACCCCGCTGAGTGATAAATCCTCCCGCAAGCAAGTAGAAATCTCATTGACCCGCGGGCAGGTGTAGCTGCTGATCTGGAAGAAAAGCTCTAACTTATCTACCCTGAAAAGGTTAACTGGAAGCTGATTGAAACCGGGCAGCAGGGACGTATCTCAGCTCGAGATCTGGGTTGAATCACAGCCGCATCTATTTATTTACCTTGACACTGCAAATTGATTTGTTCATCATTTTAAAAACCTTAAAAAGATACCGTAAGACGGCAAATGCAACCTTAATACTTTCCCACAAATCCAAGAGGAGAGGAACGGAATTCACATAACGAATGGATCTTCCTTTTTTTTTTTTCTTTTTTTTTTTTTTCTTCTTCTTCTTGATTTATAATAACAAATCGACTAGCAACGTCAAACTCCCCTCCTCCGGCAATAAACGTGTACGCCTGAAGTTTAACGTTAGTTTAACCGTGGTAAATCAAGACTAAGTCAGCCAGCCGCCAGGGTTTTTAAGAACTGACAGGTTCAACAGCCCTACATGCAACTGAACGTTGGACACGGCGGGGGAACAGGACTTGATTTAAGGACCCCGCCCATCTGGTGCCTGATGAACTCAAGATATCTGGCCAGATGCCCTCAATGAATGCTGTCACACATCCTAATGCTGCACGCTACCTACCTTCGATACCGACTCCAATAGGCCGGCTGCATAGACTTCCCCATCTGTCTTGTCCTCATACGGATTTGCTGTTCCCCTCATTGTCCCGCCTTTGTATCCCTGGGAGTTGGGAGACGTGGGGGAGAAAGGAATTTCCGCCACAGCGTGTGTGATGGGTTTTTGCTGGCGGTGTGGTGGGTGGAGTGACAGAAACAGAGAATATACGAGATATGTATCCAAGGCACTAGACACCTGCCTATAGAGGTATGATCAGTGTCCCGCCATAGAGCGTAATTTTCTCAATTTTCGCAATCCTCATTCAAGCAGGGAAGAAAGAGATTCAAGATAAAAAAAAAAAAAACCTGAGCCAATGAACGAACCAACGGAAACGAAACAAGAAGAAGCCGAATATCAGAACCATTGAACAGTCTATCACCCCCCAATTATCCATTGACACCCAGCCTCCGTCCCACCCCCCTCTTTGAACACAACCGACCTGGATTTCACAATCTTGAATCCGCAACCATGCCCTCCCCAACCAAACCCCCTAGACCTCTATGGCACCATCGCCACCCAAACCCCTTCAGGCTCCTAATCCTTCGAGAACTTGACCTGGCCTCCCCTTTGCAGTAGGCCCAGTCAGTGCCCATGCCCGATGTGAAAGGAAGCCATTCTTCTTCTCCAAAAACCCCAACAGCCGCCCTCCCGCCCTCCATGACCCCCCAACACGGGCCTCACGCTCTGGGGATCCGGGCGCAATCATGGAATACCTAATCGGCACCTATGACACCCAAGGGCCCGAAGTTGAGCTTCTGAGTACGGCACGGCAGAGGGCTGGCAAACGGTTCAATGGTTGTTGCAATTTCTAGATGTCCAGGCAGAGGCCGTAAGTTTTGGACAGGCGTTTTTTTTTCCGAAATTTATCATCCCGGAGAAGTTGGAGTCCTGTGATTTGGGCGGGTATGTTAAGGAGGTTAGAAGGCTCTGTGGAATGATTGATGGGTTGGCTGCTTGGGAAGTTGACGCTGGAGGGTATTTTGGTGTGGTGCTTGGGAAGGTGAGAAGTATCTTGGTTGGGGTTAAGTATTCGTATGACGACTTGGTCATTTTGTGCCTTGGCAGTTAGCGGTGGCGAAGATTGTTGAAGCGGGTGAGGGTGGTGGGTTTGATCAACAGAAGGAGTTTCCTCATATATATGCATTTGTGGTTGAAGAGAATGCCGCCGAGAGAAGTTGTTAAGGGTGTCGTGGCGGAGAAGGTAAACACGTTTCTTTTCGGAGAAAGGAGAGAGAGGAGAAAATAAGGGAAATGGAAAGGTGTACAGCAAATGGCTGGGAGGGGTGGGATTGATGTTGGGATATCTTAATAGGAGATTCATGTATGCATATCAACATATTGTACCCTTTTTAGCGGATATTAAAAGGGCTGATTGGATCATTCAGCTTGATTTATCGAGAGCGGTCAAAGTCGAATATTTAATCAAAATGATTTAATCAAAATGATGTTTGAATGTTAACAAAATATGCTGCGTCTTCAGGGGATTTCGACATATCTCAATTTGCTGCTTCCAATGAGAAAAGAACCAAAGATGGGGAAGAGGTGGTGGGGGTGGGGGGGGGGGGGGGGCGAAATTGTTTCTTCACCTCTCCTGTACCTAACCAAAGGAATAGGGAAGACGAGAAGGAAACCCAGTTGAAATTAACATTTCTATCATCTCTACCAAAATCATTGAAAAAGAAGAGTAATTTCTGTTTTTTATCCCTTTTTTATCCCTTTTTTTCTTTTCTTTTTTTGGAAATAAGGAAGGGGGAGGGGGCGGTTAAGGGAATTGACCAGCACAGGCTGTATCCTGCAAGAAGAGAAAAAGAAAGAAAAAGGGGAAACAGAAGCACAAATCTAGGAAAACAGCCACAAATTGGACTTGTGAGATTTTCATGCCTCTCACAAGTTGTTTTTCCCCTCTTTTCTCTCTTCTTGAAAAATGCCTGAGAGAGACTTGGACAGAAAGATGACATATGCATATGAATGCGTATAAGTCATACATAGAAATAGAAATAAAAGAAAACTATGAAATAGGATAACATGGGAGACTTGTTTCAAACAAACCATGTGAATAAATGTCAAGATTCATAGAATGTGAATGACACACCCCCTTCCAAAAGAAAAGGAAAGAAAAGAAAAGAAAAGAAAAAAAGAAAAGAAAGAAGAAAAGAAGAAAATATAAATAATAATAAAAATAAAAATAAATAATAAAAATAAAAATAAACGCTGAGATTAAATTCATGATACAGAGAGCTGCAGGGAAATTTTAGTTCTTGCTTCAACTTGTCCCACATGAAAAATTTAATTTCCATTTGTCAGACACCTCCAACCATCACCACCACTGTCACCATAACCTCGACGCGCCCAATAGGAATCACTGTAATTCAAGCTGGGGTAGGACCAGGTTCGGTAATATGCACGACTTGTAGGGAGATTCCCCTGCACAAGCTTTTCTTAGCTTATAAACGCAGCTGCCGCAGTCTTTTTACCATTTTCGGCTGACAACCCATCGTCATTCGGGTCTGCAATGTACGGCACGGTGACAAGGTCGAGGTCCCGAGAGATCCCAGAACCCGTGCCACTTGAGCTGTTGAGGCGAGATACAAGGGGCGAGAGAGATTGACGATGCTCCTGGGAGGGCTCTGGCAGGAGGAGGGCGGCGTGGGATGGTGGGAAAGGGTGGGGAGGTGCATATGAGACTGTTTCGGTAGGACTGTTTAGGACTGACGAGGTAGCAGATGTTGTGGGGGAGTGTGCCAGGGATGGTACAGTGCCCTGGCCTGTCGTGGAGATGCTGGTTGAACTTCCATCGGATACGGGGACAGGACGGGTACTGCCGCTGCTGCCATTATCTGTGACCAGGGCGAGGGGTTCTGCTTTTTGAAATAGCGATAGGTAACGGTAAGCCTCGCTGGATATAATGGAGTTGCTGCTACTGTGGATTCTTTTACAGCTTGGTTTCCACTCAGTTGGATCTAGATCAGAAATTCTGTCGTCATGTGTGGTGGGTGTTCGCACTGAAGGAAGCGAGCACGAGGTGCGGTTTGAGGTACTCGTTGGGACAGTAATGGCTTTCGCATTCACTTTGGCTTTGGCTTTGGCTTTGGTTGGGGAGGAGGGAGAGCATTTTGGCCATGAACCCGAAATTATTGGTGGCATCGTGCCGCATGTTGACTTTTGAGAAGTGATCTCTAGGGACTTTGATGCATCCTTTCGTCGACAACTGTATTTTGTTGTGCAAAAGTGGACGAGTTAGAGGTTGGCCAAGAACAAACAGCACCCTTCAAGTGAAATTTGAAACCAGTGACATGATCGATTTGGACATACCTTTCACTGCAATAAAGGATGGAGTCACTGGGGATCATTATCTGTCTCTCACAGGTGGCACTGACAAGACACCATCACTATCAGTATATAAAAGATGAAAAACAAAGCTTCAATTGGAAGGAAGACCGCCACATACCAGAATTGCAAGAAAGGAGTCGCCATTGAGAGATGCTGCTCCTTGTCCTCTGGTGCAACTGTTTGCACAGCCACAGGTGGTCTGCGCGGTAGCTTGCGAGACCTTGGCGATACAGGAGGAGGCAAAGGAGATTTCGCAGCCAACGGACGAGCGAGTCGTTGGCGTGTTAGAGAAGGGCGAGGTTGTTTCGCATTGCAGGCTGTGGAGGGGAGATGGCGTTTATGAGAGAGGTAGAAATGGAGCAGATACGGCGGGTGATCAGACGGGAGGGGATATGGGAAAGTAGGATGATGCTGGTACTGGGTCATGAGGGCGATAGCGGTTAGACCCTGGGCTATAATTGGACGGCTGCTATTTTAACACGCCTGCGGACGGACAGAAGTTTATGGATGTACTGTGTACGTAGGCATGTATCTGCGCATAATAAGATCTGCGTGGGTGGATGGGTATGTGTCGACGGATCAGAGGTGGAATTCAGGCACCAGGGGAGGGGAGGGAGGGGGGGGGGGGGAGAGGGGAGGGAAAAAATAAAATTGGAATCGAGATAGCCAGATATGGAGAGTGACGCAGCAATCAGAGAAAGCAGAGGACCAGAGGACCGAGAAGGGCTGGTAGATAGATAAGTGGGACGAGGGATGCTATTTATTCTACCCAACCCCTTTGTCGCCTTGCTCTTCTCGGTTTCTTATTTTATTTCTTCGTTCTGGTTCCCTGTACTGTACTAAATAAATCCTCTTTGCGAGCGTCCAAGGCCTTACCGGGCTTATCTGGAGAGTTACACGGCGAGGGACAGACCAGATAAACATGCAGGATCCATATAAACTAATCAATCTCCTCAAGTTTATCCGCCCGCTCACTTCGCTGTGCCGTATGGAAGTTATCACTGGCCGTGGCCGTGGAAGTGGAGAGTGGAGCGGTCAAGCCTGTATCATGTACACAGATGTCTGCCAGAGCAACAAGTGCCCTATTCTTTCTCTCAGCCAAACCAGCCAAGTGGACCATACCGCTGCTACCCGGGGTCAGTCAACACCCAGGAACCGGATCCAATTGGCCAATTGAGCGGCCCAATTGCCTAGATGCTTGGGCAAGACCCGCGCTGAAAAAGATGTGGATAGGGGATCGACCGGCAGTTATTCTGGGTTAGCTGCTCGGTGGACTCTGTAGAAGAAGGCGTGCTTGTGTCTGAGTTTCTGTTGGCCCTGCGAGTATTCAGAAATGAATCAGTTTGAAAGTCGAGGCAGCCCCACTGATGGATATGGAGCCATCAATGACGTGATAGTGCACCATACTGACTGGATAATGGCCTTGCGTAGATGGTTGCTGTGTGTATGTATGCGTCGGTCTCCTCGTTCCTTCGTGTGGGATGTCACAACCCGAGAAGAGAATTGCATGAAAAGAGAACGACATATAAGCCTGGCGTAAATAAATACCTACAAAGATGAGAAGAAGAAGAAGAAGAAGAAGAAGAAGAAGAAGAAGAAGAAGAAGAAGAAGAAAAAAAAGATCACTAAGGAACTCTGGCATGGCCTTTTTTTTTTTATTTTTATTATTATTATTATTTTAGGAATAGATCCTCGAAAAAAAGGCCACATTTACGCCAGAGCTGATCGACTCTCGGTGGGTGGGTCTGAAGTCAGTTAGTCAATGAGTCAAGGAATGGAAGTTGATATATATGGAACATGGAAGAAACTTTTTTCAGGGGCAGCGCCCTAACCGGGTACACGTACAAACCTTCTGATGGGGTTCGAAGACCTTCGTGCATCCATGGATAGACAGCACACCGCGCCCAAAATTAGCAACAATGAAAAATAACTTCCTAGCCTTGTAACTCGTAATTAATTGATCGAAATGTTGTTACAAACCAAGGTTAACTGGGTGCTTATCTATTGAGCTATTTTATCTGGCTGTAGTTTGAACTTACAAAACACATGCTTTCAAAAAGAAGTTTTACTGTGAAAATCTACCACAATCAATTTAAGTCTAATATGGGGCAGAGGGAATTCTCCTCAGAATTACATATGACTATCGCTACCAGAAAGGTATCGTCACGGACGTAGCAGCCCAGGAAAGCCCTCATGACAGCCGAGGTCCCCAATTCGAAATTGAATGCCCCAGATGTCTTCTAAGCTACGGGGTCCGCTTTACGGGGTCCGCTGTACCAGAGGTGACATGTATTGTAGAGAAGAAGAGGGGTGTAGAAGAGAGGCGTAGAAGGAGGCCCAGAATCCTGGGAACCAGAGGTGGGCTCCTTTCTGAACTATAAACAACATAGAAACAAAAACCAATCTGGATATCATCTGCAAACCTCTCAAACACCTTTACTCCCCTCCAGCAGAGACGGCGGCGGCGGTGGTGCATTCGGCGCCAAGAACCTCTCTGGCACACCTCTCGCACCCACACCCACGGGGCCCACAAAGCAGCCTAGCAACCCACTCCAGGCGTACCGGTTCGCCAACGTCTGGCGGATCTCGCGGTAGGCGGCAGCATTGGCGTAGGGGAGGTTGGTTTCTGGGTCGCGGTAGCGCGCAGGGCGGGAGGTTATGGGACAGAGCTCTTGGGGGATTTCTGCGGTCAGTCAGTATGGTTTGGCTTGCTTTTTCTTTTCATTTTCATTTTCATTTTTCATTTTTTTTTTTTTTGGGGGGGAAGGGACAGAAGAGTAATAATAAGAAGGGGGGATAGGGGGGCCGGGTATAATTTTTTAGTTTACCGTATTTACGAAATCTAGAAAAAAAAAGATAAAACTCTTCCCCGTTCTTGGAGGGGATTTGTTTTCGAAGTTTTC